CTTCCTTTCAAGGGGTTGTTCTTCTACTTCTTCCACCTCTGCTGCAGCTTCTTCTTTGGCAGCCCTTCTTTTTTCTTCCTCCTCCTGTTGCAGTATGATCATCTCTTCTTCCAATTTCTTCTTCTTCGCTGCGTGCTCCTCATCTATCGCCTTCAGCTTCGCTTGCTTGAGGAATTCCTCCTTTTTCTCCCTTCTCTCTCTTAGGATGGCGGCGAATTGCTCCTCCTGAGCGTGGGTGTAAAGGGTAGTACTCTTCCCACCATGTGTGTCAACCATGGTGTCAAGTGCACAACCGGGCGACGGTTCCACTCCTCACCACTTAGACTCTACTGACTCGATCTAAGGACTACAGAATCCGGACAGGATCCTGTCAACTAGGGTCACTAGTCTGGACCTAAACTATGGCTGTCACTACAGGACCTGTTGTTGATCAGGAGACATTTAAGGAGATCCCCCGTAACTCCTCAATAATTCTTTAACGTCGCAGACACTCTCAAGACTTAGACGGCCTGTTGTGCAGCTCACAGCTCGGATTTTGGGCCTCCGTGCCACACCGAGCAGCCCGCCGGTCAGTACCGGTCCTTGGGAGGGTTTGTGTCCTCCAGGACAGTCGAGTCGTTAGACACAGTCTTTAGCCCTAAGCCCGTGTGGGTTTGGTCAACAAGGCCCTATCATTTATTCACAAAGTCCTATCACCTGGACAGAAAAGACTCGATGCAGAAAGAAGAGACAGACAGACTTGACTCAGCAAGTACCACAGGGTGTGTGCACATCCATAGGGCGAGGGGATGGGCTGAAGGCTTGGCGAGATTATACTGGCTCCAGCTTGGTCAAAATCGTGGTCAAACAGTCTTGGTCAATGCCTTGGTCAAGGCTTGGTCAACGCTGCAGTAAACCCCCGGTCAATTACCGGTCAGCGCCCGGTCGACTCCTGTTCAACTTCGGTCAACTCCCGGTCAATGCCAACTCTGGTCAACTCTGGTTTGGCTATGGCGGCCGGCTTCCCATTCGTCGCCACCCTTCTCCTTCCCTTTTTCTGCCTCGCCTCATTCTTCTTCACCCCGTCTGTCTTCTCTTTTCCTTTTTTTTTTTTTTTTTTTCCTAGTCTCTCCCTTCGTCTTCCTCTGCTTCACTTCTCTCCTCGGTCTCTCCCTCTGTCCTCTCTTTCACCTCCTTCGTCACTCTGTGGTTGAGCTCCGCGGCTATGGCCTTCTTCTTCTTCTTCGTGGAACTGCACGACGGTCTTCACAGGTACGTGACAGCCAATCTTGTATCGCTCGTCTCTCTCTCTCTCTCTCTCTCTCTCTCTCTCTCTCTCTCTCTCTCTCTCTCTCTCTCTCTCTCTCTCTCTCTCTCTCTCTCTCTCTCTCTCTCTCTCTCTCTCTCTCTCTCTCTCTCTCTCTCTCCTTCTTCGTCGTTGTCTTCCTTGCAGGTGCGCGCGGCGGCTTCTTCACCGTACGGATCCGCTATGGCGGACTTCTACTCCGATGGCGCCTTCAGCTATGACGCGCGACTCTCCCTGCGGCACACGACGATCGCGAGTGGAATCGCGGGTACCAGCTCTGATGCCAATGCAATCAGACTCGCTATCTTTCACACTTCACATGCATGTAATCAGGTTGCGCAACAAACTGGCGACAAGTGCTCACTCAGATGGTAGCCAAGAACGCAGATCAGATACAAGCTCACTTCAGACAGCTATGGCGCAACAGCGCCTGTACAACTCTCTGTTCGTCGCCAACCCAACTCTGCTGTTCACACACACCGGATCACCCTGGATATCCCACACACATCACATTGTACACACACGCACACGCGTACACGCTACACTCTCCTATCAGCTATGGCGGTTATGGCCGCTACTACTCCTATCGCTATGGCTAAGCTCTCCTTCTCGCCCACTGCGTCTTCGGGCTCACTGCAGACCACCTCGCACAAGTCGCTGTGGCAGCGCTTCCGCATGGTTTACGCAGGAATGAATGAATGGCTGGGCGCTGCCTCTTGATTTATACTTCTGTATCTCGTTGGTCTGCCCCTTTCCCATGCCCGTGGTGCACACAATCCCATACGGTACTTGCTCGACTGGACTAGGACTGACTGGGACTGGTTCCGCTGACTCAGCAAGGGTGGACTTCACCACTTGCCCACTTGCCTCTACCTAAGCGTGAGCAGGCTCTGAAAGGCCACTTCCGGACCTTCCGGAAGTCCGTAGACTTGGCCTTTCGGTACTGTAGCAGCTACCGACCTTGACCTTTCAGGACGTCAGCAGCTACGACTTTGACCCTTCGGTGGAGGTACAGCTACGACTCCTAGGACCTACGAAGACCTTCAAACAACAGGTCTACAGATCGAACCCTTACCACTTATGGCCCCTACGACAGTCTACCAACTGTTACAAAAAACACAGGTCACGGGTTCAACTACGGGGTCGACACAGATACTGTAGGTAGGGTGAGGACTAGGGATCGAGACCTGGGAACTGATCCGCTACTGCGAATAGGTGAATACCGTTTTACCTGGGTGTACTAGTGGTTTAAGTCGAGTGAGGTTAGCCAAGGGACTTGCTATACATCTAGTTCTCTCGGGATGATCCATAATACCTAGCCCATCCAAGAAAGATCTGACCCCAGTCATAGACTGGGGGCTTGGCCAGTCCCTAATGACAGCCACTCTAGCATCTACCCATGTGACCTGCAACGGTACTTGTTGGTTGAAAGGCCCCGCAGGGCTGGTACTTACCTGTGGCCGTAACTGTGAGGGTTGCTGTGGTGAGAACACTCAAGTAGTGGGGGTAGGCCCGCGACACTTTGAGCATCGGGAAAAATACTCAAGTAGCAGGTAGGCCGGTACCACTCAAGTAGCGGTAGAAGTGTCGGGTACTGGAGGCCGAGCAGAAGAAGACAAAAGTTGGCATTTTTAGAGGCCCAGTAGCGGTAGGTTAGAGGTAGGCCGGTACCAGTACAAGTAGCCTGAGTTGCGACTAGACTTCGTATTCTATCGGCTAGTGCTCTAGGTCCGATGACTCCAATCAGGAAGTCGTCTGCATAGCGAACATAGTGAATCCTTCTAAAATGACTCTGGCGAGCCGACGAACGCGAGGGCCGAAGGCGCGTCTTGGCATTGAGAAAGAAAGGACGCAATGAAAGGCGAAACGCCATGGGGAGAAGCTCTCTTTGATCCATGGGTTTCCTATCGGGAAACCGCAACGAAGTTGACTTAGCGAATTGAAACATCTAAGTACCTAATAAGGCCTGTCCGGACGATATCAGAGCCTGCAATGAAAGGCACCGGTTGCTGGGAGACCGCTTGGCCTAGGAAGTCACCGCCCAAGAGGCCAGGAGGCCGCTATATCTTCAGGAGGAGCAAGCGGCTCCTCATTTGCGGTGTGCAAGGATTGGCGACATACTGCTGGAGCCAAGCGCTGGACTTGGGAGCGCTGCTGGGAGGAGGAGAGCAGCTGGGCACTCAGCCTGGCCATGGCGAGCAGCCCAGCCTGAGGAGGAGGAAGAAGGGGGCGAAGGAGGAGAGTGGCGAGGTACCTACCTGGCTATGGTGGACACCATCTTCATCACCTGGTTGGCTGCATCTGGAAGGCCCTATTTGGGGTAGTGCCACACCAAGGAAGCTCGAGGCAGAGTCAGGCATGGCGGTTTAGTTGCTTTGTGTTGTCCTTTGGACAGGAGTGCAGCGACATAGCTGCTTTGCGTTGTCCTTTGTACAGGACGGCAGAGCCCTTAGTAGTCCGCCATAGCCTAGGCATGTGAGAGGAGGAAGAAGGGGGAAGCCATAGCTATGCTGGACCTGTTGTTGTGTCAGCAGTAAGAAGGAACTTCGGATATTGATTCTGGTTCATCCACTCGTTGTCATTATTATTATTGGAAGAAGAATAAGATGGGCAAAGTGAAGGAGGAGGAAGGTGGAGCGAGAAGGGGGATTTGTCATTGGTCTTGCTGGTGTACATCTTCTTCTTCTTCTTCTTCTTCTTCTTCTTCTTCTTCTTCTTCTTCTTCTTCTTCTTCTTCGTTCTCTCTTCTTTGGTCTCTATCTCTTTGCAAGTGCTTTCATTTCTCTCGCAATTGGGTGGCATTGTCTTTCATTGTGAATTTGCACTTTGGGAATGACCAGGATCGTAACACTGCACAAATCAAAACCGCAAAGACTATGATGTGACAGGCTATATTACTTGATGTGACAGGCTATATTACTTCCTTAATCTAGCCTATCATCTAGCCTCCTCTCCCTCACTCTCTGTCTACTCTGCTGTCAAGTGATGTCACTGAGGAGCCTGATCACATAGGTTCTTTCCCGCCATACACCAGGTCAGTATCCGCCTGTTCCCACAGCCTTCTCGTCTCCGAATAAGTTCTTCTCCTCACCACCTCCCTGCACTGTGCTGCCCTGCTTTGCTGTGTAGAGCCCTCATGCCACCAGCTTCTCGAGGCTTCTTCCTCCTCTGGGTGCTGGCTGCTGCTAGCGCTGCTTCAAGATGCTGCCCACTTCCCAGTGTGTGATACGCCCTGTCCACTTCACTTACCTGGCCGTGGTGTGGGCCCTCGGGTAGGCAGTCTCCACCGGTGTGGCCCAGGCACCTGTGTGGTCGGGACGCAATTCAGGGGGGGTAGTTACCTGGTCGAGGCCTTCACTTAGGTCCCACGTGGATGTTTTGTGTTGCCTGGAAAAAGGGCTGCCTTGCAACAGCACGATTCAAACTCAGGTCTGTTTATCAACAGTTCATGGGCGTACCATTTTGCCAAATGGGCTGGGTACCGCAGGTTTAATAAACCACCGCCAAAAAAGGGAAAAACAGAACTTATTTGGCATTCCCTACTGTTTTCTTGGAGTGAAGCTGCACCAGGTCATCTTTGTTGATCTTGAAGTTTGAACCCAGGTCTGCAGTGTTGTAAAATGACTTATGTCTCTCCGTATTCTGCCTAGTATTAGCTCAGAAAATTGAGCCATGTATGATGTTGGGTTGTCGTGTTTTCTCAAATTCCTACCAGATATGTTTTTCCGGGCTGTTGATGCAAGACGAATGTCTTTGCTGGAGGTTTATCCAGGGCGCAAGGCATGCAGACCCCCAAATGATTGATGGTTCAGTGACACACGCAAAGAGGTTATTGTCTCTACCAGTGACGTTTATTTTCTGTGCACAGAAGTAAGTTGCCCGTGTACCGATCATGTCTTCTCATCTTTTACTGTTGTGCCTTGTGCTTAATGGAAGTATATAACATAATCTGAGCGCTGGTTGCTATGTGTGTGCTATGCGTGTGCTATGCGTGTGGCGGATTCATATCTCTAGAAACATGCTAAGTAGAATGCTTTGCGCTGGGTGCTATGTGTGTGCTATGTGGTGCAGCACACCAGAAACAAAGAAGAAAATTTGAAAATTCTTTCATAGTATATAGTATAATACTATATAGCCGAGTCACTGCGGGCACTTCCGTCTTCAGTACTGTAGCCTGGATGGAATTGTCTACGGTTGCTTGTTTCTTCGGTTTTGTCAGTATAATTGGGCAGCAGTGTTGGACACATAAATCTCTCTACAATCGTGAAATGCACGATGCCTATCCACGGTCATAGCTCAGGGCGTATTCACACTAGCACATAAAATTGCAAAAGCGCAAAATTTGAGGAACTTTTAGGTTCACACGTTTGCCGTCTTTTGCGAATTCACGTATCTGGGTATGTATATGTCAGCGGCCTGGGGAGCTGAGGGCATACGTATTTTGCGCGCACCTTTCGAGGTCCCCACAAAATACGTATTTTTGTTCCTGTGATTTGTTTCCTCAATTCATCATTAAACTCTTGTGCTTCACGCCGTGTGACTGCATGGGGCGCAAATTCGGATTTGGAGGACTAGTCACTGTCGTCTTTTCTGTTTTGTCGGAGATGTGGGAGAACTGTGTGACCAGGTGGTGCCCTATAACTGCTTTTTTTTAACTTTTTTTGGGACAAATGCGAGGATTCAGATCCTCGGCAGGCCTGAGGGGCGCCTGTTGCATCTGTGCCCGCCCTAAGTGTGGCATACTCCGTACCACACGGGCCCAGCAGAGCCCGACCTGGTAGACTAAGGGTCCGTAGGGGTAGAGCCTGTGTCGTTTCAGCCTAAAAGCCTGAAACGAGGGCCTACAGGCCCTGTGTCGTTTCGGCCTCCAGCCTGAAAACGACGGGCCATTTTTCAGGCCCTCGCAAGATCGACCTACCCTGAAACTCAGGCACCAGACCGGGGTTTTAGCTCAGGCCAT